TTATGTTTAGGTCTTTCATCTACTTTGAGTTTATTTTTGTGTATGGTGTATGAAAGTGGTCCAGGTTCATTTTTCTTCATGTCGCTGTCCAGTTTTCCCAGCACCACTTGCTGAAGAGACTGTCTTTATTCCATTGGATAGTCTTTCCTGCTTTGTCAAAGATGAATTAGCCACACGTTTGTGGGTCCATTTCTGGGTTCTCTATTCTGTTCCATTGATGTGAGTGTCTGTTCTTATGCCAATACCATACTGTCTTGATGATTGCAGCTTTGTAGTATAGTTTGAAGTCCAGGATTGTGATGCCTCCTTTGGTTTTCTTTTTCAAGATTGCTTTGGCTATTTGGGGTCTTTTCTGGTTCAATTCAAATTAGACTTTATTTTTTAGAACAGTTTTAGATTTATAGAAAAATGGAGTAGATAGTTCAGAGAGCACCTATCTGCCCTTCACACACATTGTTTCCTTTATTATTAATATCTTAGTATGGTACATTTGTTTTAGCTAATGAGCTCATATTTTTTTTTTTAATTTTTTTTTTCAACGTTTATTTATTTTTGGGACAGAGAGAGACAGAGCATGAACGGGCGAGGGGCAGAGAGAGAGGGAGACACAGAATCGGAAACAGGCTCCAGGCTCTGAGCCATCAGCCCAGAGCCTGACGCGGGGCTTGAACTCACGGACCGCGAGATCGTGACCTGGCTGAAGTCGGACGCTTAACCGACTGCGCCACCCAGGCGCCCCATCTAATGAGCTCATATTGATACACTATTACTAAACAAAATCCATAGCTTATTTAGATTTCCTTAGTTTTTTTTTTTTTTAATTTTTTTAAGTTTATTTTTGTTTATTTTTTTGAGAGAGACATAGCAAGTGAGGGAGGGGCAGAGAGAGAGAGCGGGAGACAGAAACCCATACAGGCTCCATGCTGTCAGCACAGAGCTGATTGCAAGGCTTAGACTCACGAACCATCAGATCATGACCTGAGCTGAAGTCGAGTCAGACATTTAACCGACTGAGCCACCCAGGCACCCCTTGATTCCCTTAGTTTTTACTTAATGTCCTTTTTCTGTTCCGAGATCCTATCCAGGATACTATATTTTGTTGTCATGTCTCTTTAGGTTCCTTGGCTGTGGAAGTTTCTCAGGCTTTCCTTGTTATTGATGACCCTGCCACTTTTAAAGGATACTAGTCAGGTATATTATAGAAGGTCCCTCTATTGGAATTTGATGTTTTTCTCATGATTAAGCTGAGGTGATGGATTTTTGCTGAGGAACATCACAGAGATAAAGTGCTATTTTTATCACATTATGTCAAGCAAGGGTACCTATTGTCAATGTATGACTGACGATGTTTTCTTTGATCACCCAGCGGAAGTAGTGTTTTTTGGGTTTCTCCACTGTTATGTTACTATTTTTTCCTCCTCTCCATGCTGTATACTCTCAGGGAAGAAGTCACTATGCACAGCCCACCCTTAAGGAGTGGGGAATTTTAATTTATTCAATTATTTTTATCAGTGTGGAATCATATATTTATTGGGGCAGTCCAGTACCACTTTATTTTGTTGCTCAAATCATTCTAGCTTTGGCTATTGGGAGCTTTTTCAGTTGACTTTGTTCAGTCTTTGAACTGATCTTTACTCAGTAGGAAGTGCTGTGCTCGGATCTAAAGATACAGAAATAATTAGATCCGGTCTCTGCTCTTGAGAACATAAGTAAATATTCAGTTATAGCCCAGTGTGAACCAGTACCACACGCTGCCAGTTGATTGCAGGGTGCCCAACTAAAGTCAGGAATCTCAGCTGGCCTTTTACATAGGTAGGGGAAATGATCTGGGTGTGAGTCCCAGCTGCCGGAAGGCTCCAGTGCTCTATTCATGCTCCCTCAAGGATTTAATGGTACCTGAAATTCTAACATTGTAGTGTTGTATCCCTTTCAAGTTACTCTGGTTAAGATGCAAACAGCCCCATGAGACATGATGGAATTAATCAGTCATTTATGCATTCTGGTGAATGAAGGAATGGCATCAGGGTGCAGGGCATGGAGAAAACCACCTAGGGGTGAAGGGTGGGGATTGGAGTGAGAGGAAGGAGATAAAGGCTAAAGGAAGAGGGAAGCTGGGACCCTGAAGAAGACAGACTTACCAGTGTAACCCAGGCTCCTGTAAGTTAACATTCCAGCCATCTGTGCCATTTATTCAATACAAAAGGGAAGAACCCAATAGCTACTGTAGAGTGGGGAATGCCCTGGGGTGGTTGGTGAGGAAAGTGTCACATTTAGTTGGCAAACATTCTAGAATCCTGTTAAAATAGACATTGTAGCCAGCAAGTGAAGAAATAAAAAGAAAGGGAATTAGAAATCAGACAGAACCACTAAACTACTTGACTTAACAAGTGTGTGCAAAGGACACTTTCACACATTCTCTTTCACCTTCCAGCCTAGCACTTGTGCCCAGAGGCTTTTGAGATCCTTTGGAGCCTGGAGCTCCTTAGAGCTCTCCTATCTGCCTTTCTAGTGCTCTAGGTGCCTGCCCTTCCCACTTCCCATAGAAGTGTGCTTTTACACTTCTATGAGCTGCTGGTTTGTGCTAATGACTCTTCTTTTCCTGCCCTCTCAGCCTTAACCCTTTTTTTTTGTTTTGTTTTGTTTTGCCTGTTACCTGACATTACTACTCTTCAGTTTGTTTCTGGGACTTTGCCATTCTACGAAGCACATGCTTCTGTGAAAGCTCATGTGGGAAAGAGCCCAGAGTTACAAAGCTGAATTGTTCCTGAATTATTTGCCAAAACAAGGCTAAGGAACACTAGGCAGTAAATGCTGATGGCATCATTTATACCACAAAGAGATGTACTTTCATTTTCCCAGTAAGTAATGCCTGTCACAACTGTATGATCTCATTATCATAAACCCAGAACAGTTTTAGCTTTTGTATGTATTGATTACCCATAGAGAGAGCTCCAGAATTTCCTTGTGGAAGACTCCACGGAAGTGACAACCACCGTGAAAGTCCCATTCACCCATTAGCCCTTCTTATCGATTTCCATTTAAAACCCAAATTGCTGGCTCCCTTTCAGGAGAGGATTTTGAGAGCGGAAGCTGCCAGCTTTCAGATTTCTCTGATATGCTGACCTTCTGGTTTGTAATTTTAGTGTTATTTTTTGTGAACTACAGAGTTGGTATTGGTGAGACAGTATGTCAAGAGCTTTTTAATTTGCTTCAATTTCTTGAGTCTTTGCTGTAGGGAGAAGCTTCAGCAGAATACTGGGTGAGTCTAACTCACTGCCCTGTAGAACCCGTAGCATTACAAAACCTTGTGTGCCATGCACCTTGTGAACCTTCAACACGTCAATTGAATTGAAGGAAGCATCTACTGTCAGAGTCTTGACGTACTACTTTCTAT